TAATTGAAATTAATATAAATAATTGTTAACAGTATAATAACTGCGAAATGTTATAGGAACTGATCATATGTAGTGGGAGTTGGGTTATTACAATATTGTTATGGGGTAAAATTTTGGTTTTATTCAAAAAATTAATTGATTCTGTATTGTTTGGTCGATTCCATATGTTACTGGCATGACACTAACTGCCGTTACTTAGATTTCGTGTAATTTTCAATACATTTAAAGTAATTTATGCTCTGAGTTTTAAAAAAAAAAAAAAGTCTTATTTGTGATTGTGTTCATTTCCATTGAAGTTCAACCAGTTTGATTTGGGCTCGATTTCCTCCTTAAATATCGAAGTTATGTGAGATTCACCCATATTTGTATATTTTCTAGCTTAAAGCATTTTTTCTGACTGAAGGAAAGTATTGGTCTAGTTAACTCCGAACGAAAAACAAGTTGATTTTTTCGTGTGAATTTCTAGTTCCATGCATTTTACGAGTGAAAATATACCTATTAAGTATATATCACTACTATTAGTGCAAAAGGTCGTATATACAAATTTTCAACTTTTATTCTATTTGTGCTAAAGGTGGCATTTTGTAGTCTGCAACTGATATAAGTAGTAGTCTGATATAAGTACTATGAAAAATAGCAGTTGGTAGTAAAATATGAATTCATACTAATTAATCATAAAGAAATAATGAATTTTTATGCACTCTTGCAAAACAATCAATTTTTACATTCGAAATGAATGCAGTTCGACAGTGAAATGCATGTTTTTTTTTCTAAGAATAATTTTCAAATACAGCACTATTCCGCATTTTAATATTAGCTGATAACCGAAATTAGTAGATATCAAATCCGCAAATGTTGAAGGGTAATTGTATTTCCGAATCTGCTTCTCTCAGAGATTTTATTCTCATACGAAAAATTGTATATCATGTAACACGGGCGGATCTACGGGGGGGAGGGCTTTCGGGCTGAACCCCCCCCCCAAAATGGAAAAATATAAAAATGTTTTATGGGAAAAAAAATTTAAAAAATACCTCTTAACGTATAACGTGTAATTACATTTAAAAGTACTTAAGGAATAACTTAAATACCATTTCATATAGGTAGTTAGTTTCTTTCTGTTTTTCCAAAGTAATTATCGTTATTTTTATGAAAAAAAAAGGTTTCGGGCTGAAGCCCCCCCCCACAAAATTAAATCCTGGGTCCGCTACTGTCTTGTAATATTTTAATATTTTAGCCAACGAAAACGGTGAAGAAGCTATACTGATCTTACTTGGCAGACGTTTTTTAATTGTAATAAGTTTATTGAATAAAAATACAATATGTCACATTGACAGGCAACAAGTATTTGTGCTGTAAGTGTTCATTCAAATAATATCTACATACAAAAGGGAAATAATAAAATAAAATAATAATAATAAAAAACAGCGATAAAACAGTATAAGGCGAGATTAATAATATGAAATATATTTTTTCTTTTGTTCTAAATTCGTAGAAGTAATAACATTCACAATTTATAAAATTATAGCTGTATATAAAGTATTTTTTGTTCCATGAGAGAAACTATTATTTTGGACTTGTTAGAAAATCCTCCATCATCACATATATATTCACTTATTTGATTCTATAAAACGTTCTTGGCATATCTGATATGTATTCCATATTCCGGCATAACACTCTCTTATATTTTGTTTATACAGTATTATGTATTGATTCATGTGTACGCAGTGTTATTCAACAAATCCACAGAGTTGTGCAGCCATGCAATGTTGTTGTATTTCTCTCTTCACAAAATAATTACATATTCAATATATATAATTATATTTTTTTATAAATTACTGTAGTAAACTTTACTCTGACTGGTCGTCATTTGTACCATACTTAACAAATGATACAATAGGTTTATGATGCGATGAATACTTTTGATTGAAATCCATTTGCTAAATATCTACCAAAAACTTTTTTTAAATATAACTTCTGTAACAAGAATCAGTAATTTGTCGAAGCTCTATCAAGCTCAAAAGAAAATTGAATAAAAACATATATTTTTTATTTATTTATTTAGAAATATAATAATCTGTCACGTGGACAATAATTATAGTGATATATGAACAAATTCACACCATATATACAGAAAATATAAAATTAACAAAAGTAAAATAATAACCAAAAACTATGTAAAATAAAAAGTAAAATAACAATCAGGCAGGGAATCCCAAGCCAGGCTTCTCCCTCCAACTATAGAAGGAAAAGAAGGACTCCAAGAGATCCCTGCGCTACTCTCTCAACCGCGTCTCTGGTGCTAAAGTCTGTGGAGTTTGAGAGAGAGAGCGCTTTAGCCACATACACTCATGTCTTGAGTGGAGAATCTGGCAATCGCTAGAACTCCCAGGTATGTACTACAAAAGATCTCTGGACCACTGCCACTTCAACCTTCGAGGAGGATTGTAGGAATGAGTGAAACTAGACAGGGATCATGCTAGGGGATTTGGATGATTTATAAGATGGAATTATTCTGATGGAATTCGGAAAATTTTTAAGGGATATGGTCGAGGACGAATGGGATATTAAGGTCGTGGTGTAAGGAGAAACACATAAGTTCATATTTTTTATTTTGATTGCTAAGTAAAAAGAATATCTATGTTTACTTCCTCATATCAGTTCCATTATGATATTAAAATATTTAAAAAAAAAAATAAAAAATTTAAAATTTTGAAATATTTTATTCCAAATGTTTAAAACAGTAGTTCTTATTCGATTTTTTATTTTTATTTTTTATTTTTTTTATTTATTTTTTTTTGCGCTATCGTTTATGACTTTCTGACTTGGTGTCACGTCAAAATATAATTTTGATTTAAAGCTCAATACAAAGAAAAATAAGCAACAGAGATATTTTAATCCATTTGCAAAAACACTTCAATTAATCGACTCCAGCCGACTTTACCCGAATGAGCGTTATCTATCCATGCCTGACGGCTCAGATTCATTCACTCCCCACAAAAAAAAAGTACAAAACGTGTCTAATGAAGTTTTTACTTCAATAGTAAAACTCTTCTAAGGACTTATGTAAATAAGTTGTAAAATGAGCTAATGAAATTCCAAACCAGGCTTGTCCCTCCACCTGCAGGTGAAGCAGCAAGAATACAGGACTCCGGGATTTCCCTGCAGTACTCTCTCAACCGAGTCACTGGTATTATAAGCCAAAGGGCATTAAGCGAGAACACTATAGCCGAACACTTACATGTCCTGAGTGGAGTATCTGACCATTGGCGGAAATTCAATATATGCCTATTTACAAAAGGTCGCGGGGATACAGCCATTTTCACCTACTTGGAGGATTATAGAGATGGTGGAACTAGATAGGGATTGTACTACATGATTTGGGTAATGAGCAAAGTTCAATGAAACTTGGACAATTTGTCTCGGATTAGATCAAGAACAAATGTGACATTAAGGTCATGATGTAGGGTTTTGTTGGTTGCATAAAACGCAGCATTGACTATTGTTCGGAAGACTTTGGACTGAAAGGATTGGATGGATTTATATATATTTTAATCCAGATATCGCTTTATAATAAATCTAATGAGGTTCATTCGCTATGGGATTGATAGTGTCATTTCTGGTATTGCCAACATTCTTCATAGTGGTGGAGCCTTGTTAACAGTACACATTTAATAGATGTTCGTCCAATAAATCCAAATATTGAAGCACCTTGCGATCGATAAATGATTGAATGTTATTTCAGGCTGTTTCTATTTTTATTTTTTTTTTACTTTCCCACCTATACTAGGTAAGGAAAGTATTGCAATCGGGTCAAATTTCCGATATGCGGTTTTCGACGGATCTATACGTTTCAGAGCCCGCTGAGTCCGAAAAACACATTTTTAGCCATTGGTCTGCCTGTCTGTCTGTCTGTGCCAAGATTTTCTCGAGAACTACTGAACCGATTTTGTAGCTTCTTTTTTTATTTTGTCGGATTTTGACTACTGATGCCTGTGACAAAAATTCGGTACTCCATGCGCAATAAACATGTTTTTCTATAGACTGTAGCGCGAAAACTGCTCTAATAATTTTGATGAAACTTTCCTATAATGTTCTAATCATTGTCCCTTCAAATTTCGTATATATACCAATATTATACAATAAACAGTAACGACGTTACTGTATAATAATTCACCTGTCGTTTGAAAGGTAATGAAATTTCCTACAAAGCCATATAAAAATCGTTCATTTTGGACAACTATTAACGAAGTTACAGCTATTTAATTTCTAATGAAAGATTACGGGTTCATATAATCATATAAAAGAGAATAAAGATAAAGTGAAAGTAAAAAAATCTGCCCGCGTCACACTATCTTTACTATTTCCTCTACTTTTAACAGAAATTATTGTTTGACAATACTAAGCTATGGCAAAACGTTTTTATCAGCAATATTAGAGAGTATTGAAATTTTTACACTGATCTACACAATTTTTACACTGCCAGTTTACATTGCTTTAGTTTATCGAATAAATCGTACTCAAATCTTTTGTTTGATCAATTTTCAGAAAAATAAATCTAGTTCCATTCTTTTTTGTTTCTTTATTAACATATGTAAAGATACAAAAACTTTTCTGAAATAAGTAGGAAAGTCGTGTGATTGGACACACAAGATATTTTTATTATTTATTTATTGAATATTACAATATTCTGTCAGTTGGATATTGGTTAAGTTATTTGCAATTTAAGGATTTATGTCAATGGAAGAAAAATTAAACCATGATTAGCCATTTAATTTATGTTATTGAGGTGAGTGAAAGACAGGAGAATAAACAGATAATTGACTATATCACCAAGAAAAAACTGAGACGTGAATTGACTTCACAAAGTGTTGTTAAATCAAATATGTTATCAATCATTCATAAAAATTTATTTCCATTTAATGATTACTTCATCAATGTATTGTTATGATTGTAATGTTCAATAAAAGTTAGGCAATTAAAGAAATTGATCACTATTTATTGTTCATGAAACGATTAGTCCTGTTAGATGCGAAATGATTTTGCTTTATGCTGTGTTTCTGATGTGCTTTGTAATAATTAAGGTAAATATAGATAAATATTATAAAAATAGACATTACATAAATTAAATATATATATAAATATAAATAAACATTTCTAATTACTATATTTAATTAGTATATTTGATTAAGTTAGCAAAAAAAAAAAAAATAATCTCACACATTTTTATTTTAAAATTAAAACATGTACAAATCGATATGTTTACTCGGATTTAATTTATTTTAATTATAAGGATAGATTATAATGTTATGTTAAGTAAATTAATTCTTATTTTTTATAATGTCAGACAATTTTCATTTTGTTGTTCAATATAATTATTCCAAGGGGACTAAATGTCCCAGGATAAAATTTATTTTTCTCCTTCTTCTTCTCTTCTGTTGTAAATTTCAAATTACACGATCCAATTGTTCACAATGAAGGTCTGCATTCATAGTGTGTTCAAATTTCAGTTTTCAAAATGTACACCGCCGCGGATACTCCACCACATACACAAAAGGGCCTTTTGGGCTTATAATTTTGGCTTAGCAGTACTTCGTGGATTCATTTGGAGAGAGCCACTACCTTGATTGCCTGACAAGGATTTGCTTCCATTTTCGCCCTTATCACTTCATTGTCTAACGTTGTTGTTCTTCCTGATCGATACGGGTCGAAAATATCAAAATTACCAGATTAATAACATTGATGATATGTAACTGATCTTTTATTCTTACATGTATTCGGAAGATTGATTGCTAAGAAGGTGGAAGAATAAATGTTGTTTAAATGAAGTAATGGAAGAGGGTTTGCATATAGAGATAGGTAGGGGATTCCAAAAAAAGGTAGGACATATGATGAAGGATTTTTTTAAAGGAAACGGTTGTATGATAGGGAACAAACTGGTTTATGGGCTGGGATCTCGTGTTAAACGAATGAACAGAGGAACAAGGAGTAAACAAATCAAGAAGCTAAGATGGCTTTTTGGTTATTTAAAGGTACACCTAGAAAATATTACCGCCGGAAATATGGATAGAGCCACTTCAACTCAGCATACCAAATGGAAACGTGGGAGCAACTGGGGACTACAAAGATGAATAGAACGAAACAATACATTAATCTCTTCAATCTGATCACAAGCCCACTAGATAGTTCACCGTATACAAGGCAGCCATAATTGAAGTGAGGAAAGATGGGTAAGTAAACTAATTGAATTTAATTGAAAAGTGGCGAGGGATTGTAAACAGAAAAGGCGTTATTCTGCAACACGTAACGCAAGTTTCGCTATTAACATTTTTGAGGAAGCATATTTGGACGGATTTTTGAATTTTCGGAATAAGAAGTTTCAGAATAAGGGACATTGGGAAAACATGAAACAGACATCAGAAAGAGTAATTTTGTATTATCTACGATTTTTCTAATTCTACTCTCCCTCGCTCTGTTTTTAAGAAAAAGTGTGCAATAAAATATCTTGGACACTGGTTAGGGGGAGGGAGAGGGGAAGGAGGGAGGGAACTACGTACTTGCGCCATCTACCTTGGGGGAGAGGAGGATGGACCTCCCTTGTAAGTGGCGAAAGATTTACAAATTTGGATGATATCCCAAATGACATTTTAAGAGATTCTTGTTGGTTCACTCAATAACTATAAACAATTGATATATAGTATTTAATTTTCGTGAAAAAAACAATACAAAAGCTATGAGTAACAAGGTTAGGACAAAAATACAAAAGAAAATAACGTTACACAAAATGTGAATATTCAGCTGCAAACAATTAATTACAGAATGAAGAGAGAAAAAAAGATAAAGTTTTATAAAGGTGAAAAATAAAATTATGCTTGCCAAATTAACAGATACTTAAAAGAGTTGCAACTCCAGAACAGATAATAATATCGCGATGAGCCTAGACGATTGTTATGCCGCTAGGTAAAATTATACACTTTTCACGTTAGCAACAAACACAGTGATTCTTTCTATCATACACTAAAACCCCTCTCTTATTTTATCATCTGTTTTTCTGTAACATCTCAATTGATAATTTTGTATCGAGCCTAGACGATTGATTTCCAAAGAGGTTGGAAGAAGTTAAACTGGCTGCAGCACTGATCACTGAAGGCATCATGACGTCAGAACAGATTGTGGTAACAAAATCTTTATACATTTTTATCAAAAAATAATTGACTTTTATGGAGCTCTGACATTGAAAATTTGCACACTAGGTGGTAAAATGTTGTTGATAATGGGCGTGACTACATCATTGATTAAGAATGAAAACTCGTTAAAAATGTAATGTAAGACTACATTAACTACATTGATACTACATTATTTTCCGGTATTCCTAATTAAAGAATATATGGGTACATTTATCCCCATTTCGTTTGATTGTAATTATTTATTATTATTTACCCCTATTCCAACACTGTTATCACCAACTATGCCAATGGCACGTTTATCCTATCAGTTAATAACGATCCATCTATTGCACCGAAAACTCTTCAATCACACATCACTAGTCTTGAAAAATAGTGTCAAAACTGGAGGATTAAATTAAATTCCAATAAATCCCATCAAATTACCTTTACTCTTCGTCGTAAACCTTTGACTTCCTGTCCTACAGTATCCTTTAACAATACCACACTTATCCCTGTTGAACAAATCCGATACCTAGGACTCCACCTGGAACGATCATACCAGAATGAATTGATTAGAAACCACCCGACATTTTTTACTACAACAGCACTTACTAGACAAACGCTCAAAACTTCCAACTATTTACAAAATACTCATCCGTACATATATTATTACAGTAAGGCTCGAAATCGGTTTTGTACCAAATATAAGCTCCTGTTATGCTCAAATACCATGAATGGGGTACCGTTGGATTCAGAATTTCACGGGGGGTTAGCGAATCGTATTCTCCATTTTTGTTTTTCTTTCTAAAATAAATAAAGTCGATACAAACATTTTGCTACGCTTCAATACCTGAACAGTGGTAGGTCTGTAGATCGATACGGGACAAATTGGATCAAGAAGATGTTGATGCGTACAGCAAGACCCGGATAGTTTCTCCGGAACTATCGGATCCTGCGTTTTTAAGCCCAAAAACGTACCATTTTCGAGATAACGCAAGGCATAGAGTTCGCATCCACACAACCTTACATTATTTGTAGTACTTTCATTGAATACATGTCTCATTTCGTCGACTTGAGGTCTCTATGATCGAGAGAGGAGGAGTTTATATTATTTATCGATGGTGTTTTTGATCTGCAAGCCATATCATCGTCAATTTTTCACCAAATCTCAAGATTGAGCCACCAATTTCGAAGGCTTCCTTCTCCTTCAGGCGGACAATAGTCCAATCATCCCGAAAATTCAGGCAAAAAAGTTATAAAATAAAACAAACTTTATTTCCGAATAACTAAAAAATTACACACTTTTCCCTTGGTTATGCCCGTGATTATATAAAAGATTACTTAATTCCCTACAAAAGGAAAACAAAATCATCGAAATCGGACAATTTTTAGCAAAGATACAGGTTACTGAAATTTGTAAACATGTTGGTTCCAAACAAAAATGAAGAATTAAATTAATTTTGTTTTTCTTTGTCGATTATATTTATCGATAAAGTAACGTTTGATTTCTTTATCTTTTGATAGGTTGCATTATTTTATTTTCTTATTAATCTGGCATTTGATAACAATATGCTGTGCGAATTTTTTGCACGGGCCTATTAGTATATATTACTATAATAAGGCCTATTTGGACTTACGGGATCGAGCTTTGGGGCTCTACTGATCCATCAAATTCATGTCGTATCTAAATCTTACAATCCAAATACCTTCGTAAAATCCTCAATGCTCCCAACTTTGGTCAAAAATAAAATCATCCATAACGACCTTAATGTTCCATATGTTTCCGATTCAGCTCAATCCAGATACTTTTCCTTCCATAATAAACTTCTGAACCATCGGAACCCTCTTGTTTCCAACCCTGCTTCCTCTTCTATTCCTGATAACCCTCCGAGGAGGCATCTGAAAAGAAGATGGCTTCGGACCTTCTAATATAGAAATATAATTGGAGATCTACCAATGGATGTTTCATATTTACTTGTTGTATTCATAATTTAATACAGCTTTAAATTTTAATAATAATAAAAAATGTGATTGTGTACCACCTATTAATACATACATGCACAACATAATTTTCTATTATTCGTGTTATGTTTAATTAATACTCTTAATATTATTAGACTGATCGTAGACAACCATTCACCTTATGGCGAGCGGCAGATCTTCAGGCGTCTTCAACAGATCCGAAGAAATCACATCCTAATCCAAATCAAAATATACGAAGAAAACCACGCTCAGTAACTCGGTGTATCAGCCCTCAAACTAATTTTTTTGAAAGTAAAAAGATCCGAAATGGAACTCTGCTTTTCAACTGCAAACCGCCGACTCCTTACTGTAACTTCGAAAGGAATTTATGCGTCAGTAGTATTCTGACGAAATTCAAATGTGATGGTTAGTCATTTTAGTAATTTAATTAAAGTTTAATGTTTGAATCAAAGAACGAAAGCGTGTGTGTGAGAGAGAGAAAGATAGAGTAGTGTAAACATCACAATTGCGTTACAAAGACATAGTCCATTTAGATTTAGTATAGTTAATATTGTTTCTCTTTAAATATACTATTCATCTTGTATTTACTACTATTCTTTTTTTCCTGGCTGATATATTAGTCCGTGGTACAGACCCCTCTCTGTAAAATTATTAACATCCGCTTGAAACTTCGTGAATAGCTTCATGCCATCGTAAGCTACATCTATTTTATTTACGTAAACTCTCGTAATTGGGACGTTTTCAATCTGAAGATCGGCAAACTTTATCTATTTAATTAGCTACTAAATACTCGTAAATACCCATTTGCTTTCCACTTTAATCGTAAGATAACTTGGAGAATTGAGAAAAATTTATATGGCCAAATTTCAATAGGTTGTATCTTTGCTTTTATGATCCGATTTAAATAATTTTTGTTTGTTTCTTAGGGAATTTAGGAACCTTTGAAATCCACATCATGACCGTTTGCCACACCAAACGGCTCTATATTTCTGAAGGCCACATTTTTTCTCCAGTTTGTGCTAACATTATTTTACGATTCAAGTGAAAAGCAAAGTGGTATTTACGAGTTTTTAGTACCTAATTAAATAGACAAAGCTTGACAATTGAAAAAATACCCAATTCAGAGAATTTTCGTAAATAAAATTGTTGTAAGTTACGATGAGATAAAACTATTAACGATGTTCAGACGGATGTTCATTATTTGATAAAAAGGGGTCTGTATTACAGATTATATACTTTATTATTTTTTAAAGGCATTTTTTTGTTCATACATTTTATATTTTTTAGTAATTTAGAAAATCCCATGATCGAGGCTTTATTTTTAAATACTAGCTGACCTGGAAACGCGTTTCTGGGGCTGGTTAAATAAAAAAACGAGTAGAAAAGAAATTAGATGTTTCTAATATATTTTATGATGATGTAGAGTTGGTTGACCGTTGATATGATATGAGAAGGAATTAGTCGAGGGTGCGGTCAAAAAAAATAAAAAAAATTAAAATATATAAATAATTTTAATTTTTGCCAACAATTATTTATATATTTTAATTTTTTTTATTTTTTTTGACCGCACCCTCGACTAATTCCTTCTCATAATATATTTTATGTAACAATACTTGTGAATATGTTGTCCCATCCTTTGTATAGATATATAAATTGTATGGTTTTCCAAATCTAGAATTTGTAACATATAACTGTCGATGTAAGAAGCAATCGGTCTCTAAATCTCCCATGAAAAATTACTAAATCTTTATGTTATATCTCTGCACCAAATCGTCCGATTTTAGTCATTTCCTTTTATTTGCAGGAAATCAAAAAAGCTTTCAATTAATGATATATGTTATTATTATATCGATTATAAGGTTTAATCGAACAATCGTGTACTTTTCGGAGATTAGTAGTTTTGAACAAACGAACGTTTACGTTTTTATTAATATAGATGAAGTAATAGATAGACGATGGATCGCCATGGAAACCGATTGAGTCTCTATTAGAATCTTTTTACCTGATTTTCACTGAATAACTCATAACTCCTCATGATTTTCTCCTAATTCAATATTTCTATGACAGTTGGAAAGCTGAGTTGTTCCTCTTTAAGCCTACATAAACTTTTATATTTAACGCCCTCGTAAAGAATAAATAAAGAAAAACTCCAAACAGGTTTTTGTTGCTTATCTCCAAGCCTAGTTTATTTACGGACTTCTGGTTTGTTTCATTTCCAGTATATTCTAGGGCCCTAAATGAATGCCAATTTTCGGGTGGTTAAGTAGAGCCATATCGAAGTTATGACAGCTGTTGAGATTTTTTTTTAAATCGAAGGAGCCTTGACGAAAATTTGAGGTAAAAAATTTATATTTTTCGATTTCAATGAAAATTCGTATCTGAGGATTTGTCGAGATGCGAAACAAGAATCTCGACTCCGTTCCTTATTAAAAAAAATATTTGAACCACTTTGCTGCTTTGGGCGTAACAAATTGTTTCATTTCGGAGATAATTCTTTTCTATTTCGATGTTTCTTTTTATCATTTTGTAGGAAATGAAGAAAACTTTGGAATAACGATGGATATAATCGAACAAAAATGGTATACTTTTTGACTTATTCGCAAATATAGTTTTGAACCCATCGTAACATTTTTTTCATACTCTTTTCGGAGAAGGATGTTATGTACATAAATTAAAAGGGCTTCAAGGAGAAGACTTTAGCCAAGTTTAATTAAAATCGTTACAGCCGTTTAGGCGCTACAGTCTATAGCGACATAGGTGGTTGGGCCGCCATTCCGAAACGCAAGGAGGGTGATTAATTGTACATAAAAACACTCTTGAATGCGATAGAAACAGTATGTCAATATTCCAAAGCGATCGGTGAAGAAGTTTCGGAGATTAGTGGTTTTAAACAAACGAACACTTACCTTTCCAGTCACCGTTTAAGAATAGATCCTAGCAATTAATTCTCACACATAATATGAGAACAATTAATTTCTCCCTCACATATTACATAGGATCTACTTGTCTCTTGCTAAACAAAATTTGTCTGCGAACTATTCGCATTTGCCAACTAGTTATATATATATATTTATTTTATTTATAACTTGAATTATCATACTATGGATTGTAATTTTAGCGCTTATGAAAGATGTTTCAGACGGGCATTATCCACACATCGCCGATTGCAGAGGATCTATGATCTGCAGAGGAGGAAACAATATCGATCAGCCTTGTTCCGACGATACGTCTTATGATTACAAAACAAAAAAATGTATAGGAGGGAAAAGAATATGTGTAATGTATGCATCTCAAATAATATATATATATATATATATATATATATATATATATATATATATATACAAATAGATAAAAATAATAATAATAAATGTATCGAGTAGTAGCTATCTAATATAGTGTGATTCATTCAGTTGTTGACAAGAAATTCTTGAAATTTGGAACTGGATTCCAAAGCAAAAGATCTAGCGCGCGCATCATACAACTTTCATTTACTATGAAATTATTTATTTCGTTTCTACTCCTAAGTGTCGATAAAATTATAATTGACTACTAGCATGAAAAAAAAAAAAAAATTGGTGCGGTGTACGCATCACACAACTTTCACTTACCATCCTCTTCTTAGCAGAAATTAGTGTTTCCCAAAATTGGTCTTTGTCTTGCACTAGAGTGCTGGTTAGTGTCCGGTTTTATAACTATATAGTAGAAGTGGCTTTATCATAGCATTGTACACCCTTACTTTGAGATTTCTTGAAATTTTTCGGAATTTCAATACGTTTAAGAGGGAAGGAGCTCTATTTGCGCTAGTCTAATTCTGTAAGTTGGTCATTCATTTAGGTTATTGTGGAGCCGTGGTATTTGAATTTTTCTACTCTTGGGAATGATTTATGCAGTTTATCAATGCAAATATGTAAACATACTGATATTTATCAATCTATAATTTTATATGTGTCAAATAATGAAATAATTGAGGCTACGTCCTTTTCATCGTATATTCATTTATTTTTTATTTACTTGGCAACTTCATAGCCACTATGACATCCTCAGGCTAATTGTTTTATATTATGACATAGGGCAACATAGATTATAATATTCAAGGTTGGTTGAGTTAGATTAAGTACAATGTCTAAGTGTTCAGTTATCCACATATTATAGTCCGTGGTACAGATCTATTTTTATCAAATTATAAACATCCGCCTGAAACTTCGTAAAAAGCTCCATCTCTTCGTAACCTACAAATATTTTATTTACGAAAATTCTCTGGGGCGTTTTCAATCTGAAGGTCGGCTAACTTTGTCTGTTTAATTAGGTACTAAAAACTCGTAAATACTCATTTTCTTTTCATTTGAATCGTAAAGATAATTTGAGTAAGCAAGCAAAGCCGGGAAAAAGTTGGCCTTAAAAAATTTTGAACCGTTTGGCGTGAAATACACTTCCAAATTGTCAAAATAATGAGGTTATATAGACCAAACGGCCCAATATTTTTATACGCCAGATTTTGTATCGATCTTATGACCAAATTATCTTACGATCCAAGTAGAAAGGACATTGGTATTTACGAGTTTGAAGTACTTAATTAAATAGACAAAAGTTTATCGATCTCCGAATTGAAATTTTCGTAAATAAAATATTTGTTGATTACTACGAGATGAAGCTATTTACGAAATTTAAGGCGGATGTTAAAAATTTGACGAAAAGAGGTCTCTACCGCAGTCGATTATATATATTTTTCATCATTGAAAATATTAAAACATAATGTTATTTATTTATCTATTTAATTGCGCTTATACTTAACTTTAATATTAAGCGAACCTAATTTTTTTTTCGTTTGTTAATTCTCTTTTATTGACCCATACCTCGCCATTACGGCATAAGGGGGGTTGTTCTATAGATACAACCAAACCTATTTTAACCGAGTTCAAAGAGGATTCATTCTGTGTGTCCTTCACGGAATACATTTTAAGCCACCTAGACCAGATTCGAACCGGCATTGTTAGATGGGTAACATATAGCAGTAATTTAATTATAACATTTACTTAAGGACTCGAACTGTGGGGGACAGCAAAACTTTTTAACATCAAACGCATTCAATCCTTCCAGTCTAAAGTTCTTCGAACATGCTCCCTTTTACGCAACCAATAAAACCCTGCATAATGACCTTAATATCTCATTTGTACTTGACCTAATCCCAGACAAATTTCACCAGAACCTCACTCATCATCCAAATCCTGTAGCACAATCTCTATTTAGCTCCAGCCATCCCTACAACCCTCCTCGGAGGTTAAAATAAGTATATACTGGAGTACTAGCACTGGCCAGATTTTTCACTCAAGTCCTGAGCGTTTGTCCAAGTTCAAGTCCATCAGTCTCAACTGGCTTCCAATACCAGCGACACGGCTGGGAGAGAATCACTGGGATCTCCTGAAATCCTGCTTTGGCTTCCACATTTGGGGAATAAAGCTTGATTTAGAGGCCCCTGGGCCAATGTAAATATTTTACATAGGTGTTAATGAGTTTATTTATTTTATCATCATTTGGCTTTAATCTATATATTTTTTTTTTTCTACGTCAGAAATTTATATTTATTTTTCTTTCTTATATACATATTGTGTGAATGAATACTGTAGCCCTAATACCAATGCCCTTCAGTGTGGCAGACTGTATTAATACTCAATAAAACCATTAAAAATATAAAAAAATTATTAAATTTTACGCCAGACAAATGATACTTCAATAGTTCATTATCATTATTCTTAGGGACCAAATGTTCCACAGTAAAATTTACTTTTATTGTTCTTATATTTTAGACCAAACTGCGTTAATAAAAGCGAGACATATGTAAGACATCCTGCCGAGCGAAATTTATTTGTATTATGCATCGCTGGAATACCTTCATCATTGTACATCTGCCCTCCCGGATACTTGTTTTCTCCTAACAAAACCCAACCCTGCGAATTCATATGCTTCCAGGCTGGCTTATTTCCTGATGTCTATGATGAAACAAAGTAAGTAACATTAAAATACAATTCATGAGTAATTGAATGTACAAAATAACCCAGGTCACACCTATGAATGGATGTGGTTCAAAGTGTTTTCAGAATCAAATATTTAGGTTTATTGAACCTAGTTTGTCTCTCGGTGGAACCTGTCCACTAGAGATCTCGTCTTCCTTGTGGAGGAGGGAGGTCTGAATATACAGAATGGAGACCCGTGGAACAACAGGGATACAGTGCTGGAAGGTATAGTTACCCTTCCTTCCAAGGGGACATAAATATTCAGGAGATCAGTTGTCCCGAGGAAACGGGTCTTCCATCGCAGGACTAATAATCCGCAAAGTAAAAAACCAGCATCGGATGTGGACAGATCTCATGGAAACGGCCCGGCGTTAATTGGGATTTAGGATTTGGAAATTGGAATATACAGACATTCACAGGAAAAGAGGTTGAGCTTGTGGAAGAGATGAAGACATGAGGAATCAGTGAAAAGAAACATTACAGTGATTACGCCCTTACATATCAATGAATGAAAACATATTTTATTATGAAAACATATTTATTATTTGTCCCTTCAGAACAGATTATAAGTACAGATTGCATCTCTATATGGTCATAAATAAATTATGTATTTACAATAAGAGTTAATTGAAAATAAAAATATAGAAGAGAGAAAAATACAAGAAAATTATATATATATGTCTATATATAAGACGGATATAGGAAATTAAAATAGCCTAAATAAATTGAGATAATCTCTATATAGTTATCTTAGGTATATTTCGTAATCAGTCGAATTGAGAAAGAAGTAGGTGTTCAATGAGGAGAGTTTTGAAAAGGAAACTGATTGTGCGTGTGGAGCTTTGTGGATGGAGAGAAAAACAAAATATGGTTTCTAGACTCGAATCACATTATCCCTGATCACCAATTTGGACTCCAGCCGCTCTCATTGTGTAAACTATGCAATAGTATGATATTTGCTCTTTTGACAGTAATATCACAGTTTCAATTTTTGATGAAAGTTGGTGTTATTTGCCTTAATAGTGAAAGCTAATGTCAAGTTTACTGCCACTTGCTCTAATATGGCCCATTTTTTGTTTTGAGTTCCTAAGAACAATTTTATAAGATACTGTAAATAAATAATGTTTATTAAGAAATGTGTGTGAGTTTCAGGAGCTTTTTTAGTTATGATGGGAGAGAGAATTAAGGAAGGTAGCGGAGGAACAGGTCAGTGATAAGGTGTTTAGTAGCAATGTGTTCATTGCTGAAATTTATTGTTGAAACAGTTTCTTTAATTAAACAAATACACTTGGGGGTGGGGTGGCCGAATGGGCTAAGCGTGTGCACAGCACCGCGAGTTGCCCGGCAACCAAATATATGAAGATTTGAGAGACAAGAAAAGTACGAGTTCGCGTCCCGGTGCCAGAGGGGATTTTAAATTCCGCCCTCACTCTCCGGCCCGGGAAAATCCTGTATAGCCTAAACGGCGAGGTAGGGAAGAATAAAAAAAAAAATTAAACAAATACAGTTAACTGATTCAATTGAAATTTAATTTGTTTAATTGTAAATTAACATAAAAATTGTTTATGTTGATATTACTTACCCCTCCTTTACAATTGAATTGTGTTACATATTATATTTATTATAGCATTCCATACTCTTCTATTGATCATGTTTGTTTTTGGAGAAAGATAATTATTCTGTGCTGAAATTTCAATCAAAATGGATCCCCCAAAAACCACTTGCACCATATTATGCTTCGGGAATACAATAAAGAAGAAAATGTTTCTTCAACTTATCGGAAACTTGCAGAAATATATGGGAAAAACCTCATTAGTAAATGACAGTAGTTAAATTCTGGATAAACGCAGAGAACATAATTGATAGAAGGACTGCATCTGAAAAAAGTAATGATGTCTGGTGGGATATGAAAGGAACCCTTTAACATGAATTTCTTGATCTTAACCAAATTATCTCTAAAGATTTTTATCGAGATCAGTTGAATTGATTGAAGTTAGGCAATTGAGAAACAATGTCTCTCACTTATCAATAGACGAGAAATTTTATTCCACCATAACAATGCAAGATCTCATGTTGCAAAACATTACAAAAATTTAGACTTTGGATGTGAAATCCTTACCCACTATATTCTCCTGATTCAGCGCCTTCGGATTATCACCTTTTTTGCAGTTTCTAAAAAAAATTATGTGCCAAGAACATGAATTCAGTGGATGGAGGGAATATGGTTTCTAGATGGCAAACTGTTATAGAACAAGATTGTAGTAAAAACGTATTCAATTAAACGTGTTTAATTAATTTTATCCCATTCTTAAATATAAATATAAACTTTATATTAAATACTGGCATTACTTATGGGATGAACTGATATATCTCAGTCATATTTTTCAAGTGATATTTTCTAAATGGTTCTTTTATTTTATTTATTATTAAATATATATTAATATTAGAATGAACGCACCAGTTATGAACAGTGGGGGGGGGGAGGGAGGAGGTCCAGTGATAGACCGGTTGGACTTTAAATTTAAATAATAAGCTCTCTTGTTGATTTAAAGGTTCCAGTTTTTCTATATTGAAGAAAAATGTATTAACAACTGTATGAGCAAAGTTCCAAAAGAAAATTTTAAAATACCCATCATTGTTGTTCCTATAGTGCTCTTGAGATCAGTGTGTTTCATACCTTCCTACTAACAGTTTTGCTGAGAATAAGTGTAATTTTAAAGTTCTAAATAGAAAAATGATACCCTAGATTCTAAATGTCTAACGGAGAAGTTTATAACTATAATAATTATGGCGGATTAAGCCAAAAAAGACAAACATTTCCTTAGCTCTTTCCATCACTGGTGCACTTAACCTAATTTTGTTTATTTGACTCAACATGGAAAAACCGTTAATATATCTTAATATTAAAAAACTTCCTTGTTTATATTATTATTTTTTTCTTTAGGTATAATCGATGTTCTCGTACTGCATATGGTTTAATAAGAACATCGGTTTTTTTGGGATCCAATAACACTGACTACTAGACGTTACAGAGCCTCTTAAGATAAAAAGCATGGTGTTTACCAATGCTTTATGACATATAGTAAGACTATTGGTTTTGAAAGAAGAAATCAATTTTACTAGTGCTGAGATAATGATGAGAAGAAACAGGCTTTTCATGATGATTAGCAAAATATGTATATAGACATGTGATTATTTTATGTAAAATACAAAGAAATGTTTTGTTTTACAAATTTGAAAATTGTGAAAATCAAATTAAAAACCTGAAAATAAACTAAAAGTATATCTTTATAATTTGTTAAATGTAAGTTTTAATAATTAAAAGAGAAAAAAATGAATTTAACTTGAAGTAATGCTTGTTTTTATTCATAATCCTCATTAAAAGTGTTACAAATATTTTTTTTTTTTTTTTTATGTTGGTAATACAGACCATGAAGAGCTTTTGTTGCCTTAACAAGCCTGCTCCCTCTCTGCCTGTCTTGCACTATTTCTTTCCATTAATATGCAAGCAGCTCTATTAGATCTTTATTGATTCTATCTATCCATCTACTTTTTGGTCTTCCATGTGCTCTTTTGCCTTCTATTGAAGCATTCATTGTTACATAGAAGCTTCCAGATAGATTGCTACGAGCTACATGCCCCACCCATCTTAACCTCCCTGCCTTCATATCATGGGATATTGAATGACCATTTTCTTAAGCAATTGGTCTTTCTTCTCCATGTGGCAATATTATGATCGATGATCACTCCGGTTATCGTGCAGAGGATTTTTATATCATATTTACCAACACTTTTTTATAGGGTTCTGATTAGTGCCCAGATCTCACAGCCATGTATATGTATAAGAATTAGCTTTATCATAACATTATACATCCTTAGTTTGAGATATTTCAGGATTTCAATACCTTTGAGAGAGAGAAGAAAGCTCTGGTTGGGCTAGTTATACACTGGTCTATTTCTGCGCATTGGTAATTCATTGAGGTTATTGTGGGGCGAAGATATTTGAATTTTCCTGCTCTCGGGAATGATTTTCCTTCAACACAAATCCTGTTATTGGGGTAGAATTTTCGACTTATCATTATATATTTTGTTTTGTCTTCAATTATGTGTAGGCCTATCTGTTCTGTCTCTATTATCAGGGTCTTAAAGAATTTCTCAATGTCTTCTTGATTACTTCCAAGGACAGCTATATCATCTACGTATCCAAGAATTTTATGATTCATTCCGAAGTGGACACTTCTATTTTCCTGTGATGTCATTACTTTCATCAGGGCTAAGTTGAACAAAATTGGCAAGGTTATAAATATTATGCATATCAAATTTTTTTTAAACAAATTAATTTTCTGAAGTATTATAAAGAAAAAATTTCCAGATTTTTTACCTTATTTTCTGTTATAAAATTTAAAGTACTGAACCCAAGATCCCTCATGGGTTGTAGAAGTAGTTTTTTTTTTTTTTCACCATAGATATAAAATAAACGCTGCCAAAATGTGGACCTATCAAAAATTTTGATGGTGTAAATTGCGCCATGAAACTCCCTTCTGGGCACCCCTGGATAAAAAGTATTTATGTATACTTACATAAGTACAGTAGTTACATAAAGTACAGTATTTATACTGTTATTAGTAGTAGACCTTGAGGTATAGGTAAGTGTGGAACCAATAAAAACGATGAGGAAGCTATTCTGGCCTCACTTAGCACACTTTTTCTGATTGTTTTTTATTGTATACTTCAGATTTTTTGTTAACTTCATATTATATGGCATATTCTTTGGGTTTTGACTGCATAAAAATTCGGGTCTTGCTTATCACATATTTTTTTAAGATTTAAAAATTAAAATATTGCTATTTATGATAATCTTCGAATAACTAAAATTTTATGCTAAAAGTAAATGGAGCAGAATATATCTTTGATCCATTGGGCCCTTTGGATTATATAGAAAGAAAATTTTTAATAAACAAAAAAACATTAAGATATGAATTATATAATTTCAGTAATAGATTTCTATATTTATAGTAAGTGATTTTTGGTCATTGCAGGGCAATCACTTCAAACAGTGAAGAGTGCATTCAGTAGATTGGAGAATGAGATAGGGAAAATGGGGCTATAAGTAAAACCAACGTCCTTGTTTTAAGGAAGAAAAAGCTCGTTCATCCTCTATAGCACTATGTCTTGGGAAACCATATTTTTCAAGCTGTATCAATCTCCACCTACCTCGTGCCCAAAATTAATTACAGCAAAAACGAAGAGAAGGAGATAGGAGCTAGAATAATGGCTGCCAAAAGAGCGTACTTTTCTCTAGCGAGCCTTCTGAAAAGTAGATTGTTAAGTCGTACAACAAAGTTTAGGATATACAAACGGTTATTCCGCCAGTTGCAACGTATATGTGCGAGACATGGACTCTTACAAAGACATCTGTTCAACAAATAGATCGGTTTGAAAGGATACTGAGACAGATAATAGTACCTAAACTGGAGAAAGGAGTTCCCCACTTGAGAACAAACAAGGAGATATACTCAATATGCCGAGTGTTATGAGGAGTGAGCAACAAAGATTGTGTAGCCTTTGTAATTGAAATGAAATAGAGGATGTATACCACTACATCGCTGTTTGTCCGATTTTACAGGAATATCGAATCACATATTTTAAGAAAAAAAATCATAAACGAACTGAACTTATAAACATACTCAATGGCAAAGATTAGAGCAGTTTATATATGTATTATATATACGCTTATAAAAATAGGATGTTTTTGATTCAGCAATACAACATAACATTCTTTAGTTATATGATAGTAATTATAGTAAACAAAAGCAAATATATGAGAAGTAGTTGATTAGAGGGTGTGGTCAAATAAATACTAAATTTTAAAAAACAGTATTTTTAATTACAATTACAATTAAAAATACTATTTTTTAAAATTTAGTATTTATTTTACCACACCCTCTGATCAACTCCTTATATTATATCATGTTCAACCATCTCTACATCAAAAGCAAGTATAAGATTAAGGTTATGCAACAAAAATTCTTTCTTTCTTATTTCTTTCTTTCTTATTAAAAGGCTGTTTAATGTTTCAACAGTTAATAGTTATTAAAGGAAGGAGATGGTCTGGGGTGGGGGTCATAAATAGACTAAATAGTGGTAAAACTATTTTTATTAAAAGCCAACTTTTCGAACCGACTTTGCAGTTCTTCTTCAGGGCTAGAATGGACAAGATACAAAAAGATAGAGAATTGTGGAAGTTACATAATATTTAGACAAAAAATTATAAACAATATGAATAAGCTTATAAAAATTATAAACAGTAAGTACATTAAAATATGAACAGAGTAATCTAAGTAACAAGATCCTAAACTAAAGTAAATAGATGCTAACTCAGCAAATTCCTATTACCCTCTCTCCAAAAACTTAGTCAAAATAATCCTTATGACATTAATAATTCATTCCGGCTTAAAGAAGAGTTATCTTCTCTCCATATTCCTGACAACTTTATCCTTGTTTCCCTAGACGCCGAAAGCCTTTTTACCAACATCCCAATAGAAAAAGCCCTCCACATTGTACAGAAAAACTGGACAATCATTGAACCTCACACCACTCTTAACCTCTCCCCATAACTTGAATCCCTTGAGCTTTGTTGCAGATCCGGATTCCTCACCATCCAAGGAAAATTCTTTAAACAGATTTCAGGCATAACCATGGGAAATTCTTTAGCACCAGATATTTTCAATATTGTTCTCAATGACCTTTTAGACTCTGTTACCCCTTCTTTCCATCAAGACATCATTTTCATCAAAAAATATGTCGATGACCTTCTCCTTGTTCTTAACCCTGACAGCATCCCTCAAATTCTTTTCTCATTTAACTCATACCACCCCATCTCCGTTTCACTATAGAGAAAGAAGTTAACAATTCACTCCCCTTCTTAGACCTCCTAATAATAAAAAACACTGACGGCTATGTTTCTAATGACTGGTATATTAAACCCACATACTCAGGCAGACTACTCAACTTTTACTCTCAACACCCATAGCACCAAATAATCAATACCGCCAAAAACCTTATTCACCGATCTCTCTCTTAAATCTGACCCCTCTCAACACCATACTTAAACTTTTAAACTGCTATATAACCAAAAAGAGTACAACCTCCCCTTTTCCCAACTCCCCACAACCACCTACCACTCCTTTCATATACAAATCTCTCCCCTATATTCCTACTCTCAGATAATATACAAAAATTCCTTAAATCGACGATAACCTACTTACATCTTGGCCTTAAGTCCCATAACAAACTTACTTTCCTCTTCACCAACTTGAAGGATCTCATACTTTAACAACGCCGATCTAACATAGTTTACCAGATACCTTGCTCTATTCCTAATTGTAATAGCTCCTATATTGGTGAAACCAAAAACCATCTCAAAACCCACATTTCCCAACATAAAACATCCATTACTTCCCGGAACCCTTCCACCTCCAAACTATCAGAACATGCCTTAACCCTCAACCACTCATTTGATTTTGAAAAAAACCTCTATCCTTGCCACAGTCCCTAGCCATGAAAAAAGACTCATTTCCGAATCCATCCACATTCACATCGAACAGAATCCTGTTAATCATTTGCATTTATTATATATTATACAACAACAATTGTTAGCATCTATTTACTTCAGTTTAGGATCTTGTTACTTAACTTACTCTGTTCATATTTTAATGTACTTCTTACTGTTTATAATTTTAATAACCTTATTCACATTGTTTATAATTTTTTGTCAAAATATTATGTAACTTCCACAATTCTCTATCTTTTTGTATCTTGTCCATTCTAGCCCTGAAGAAGACCTACAATCGGGTCGAAACGTTGGCTTTTAATAAAAATAGTTTTACCACTATTAAGCCTATTTATGATCGCCACCCCAGACCATCTCCTTCCTTTATAATGAAATGGGCAACTATTAAATATTTATCCCCACATATATTATTACAGTAAGGCTCGAAATCGGTTTTGTACCAAATATAAGCTCCTGTCATGCTCAAATACCATGAATGGAGTACCGTTGGATTCAGAATTTCACAGGGGGTAGCAAATCGTATTCTCCACTTTTGTTTTTTTTCTAAAGCAAATAAAGTCGATACAAACATTTTGCTAGACTTCAATACTGGAACAGTGGTAGGTCTGTAGATCGATGCGGGACAAATTGGATCTTGAAGATTTTGATGCGTACAGCAAAACCCGGATAGTTCCTTTGGAACTATCGGATACTACATTTTTAAGCCCAAAAACGTACTATTTTCGAGATTACGCAAGGCATGGGGTTCGTATCCTCACAACCTTACGTTAATTGTAGTACTGTCATTGAGTACATGTCTCATTTCGTGGACTTGACGCCTCTATTATCCAGAGAGGAGGAGTTTATATTATTTATCGATGGTGATCGGCAAGCCATATCATCGTTAATTCTTCACCGAATCTCAAGATCAAGCCACCAATTTTGAAGGCTTCCTTCTCCTTCAGGCGGGCAAAATAGTCCAATCTTCCCTAAAATTCAGGCAAACAAGTTATGGAAGAAAACGTCCTTCATTTGCAAAAAACTAAAAAATTAAACACTTTTCCCTTGGTTATACCCATGTTTATATAAAAGATTACTAAATTCCCTACAAAAAGAAAAAAAAATCATCGAAATCGCACAATTTTTAGCAAAGATACAGATTATTGAAATTTGTAAACATGTTGGTTCCAAACATTAATGAAGACTTAAGTTAATTTTTGCTTCCTTTGTCGAATTTGCTTCCTTTGTTATATTTATTGATAATGTAACAATAGATTTGTTTATCTTTTGGTACGTTGCATTATTTTATTTTCTTATTAATTTGACATTTGATAACAATATGCTGTGCGAATGTTTCGCACGGGCCTACTAGTATTTATTATTATTATTTCTTTTCATTGTATGTATTTTTAGGGCAACTCCAGGGAGATGGTTCTATACCATTGCCAAAAAAAAAGTTTTGTTATTAAAAAAAAGGAATATGTAAAATGTATATAGAATAAAGCATTCTTTCTATCTATCTACTCAATGTACAGTGATCTGTCTATCTCAGAATTTGCTCGAGTACAGCGAATGAAATAGTTAGGACATTTCCTGAGAATGGATGAAGAAAGGACAGCGAGAAAGTTTTTTCATGGGAAGCCAGAGGGAATTGGGTCTAGGAGAAGATGGAAGGAAAGGTTAATAGATAATGTAAAAGAAGATTTGAGAAAAAATGGCATATCCATCAGGTGCGCAGCCAACAGGGATGACTTGGCAAAGGAAATTGAGCAGGCAATACAAGGACTGTGACATGCGTCTGTTGCACCAATAATGAATGAATGAATGAATAGTAAGTGATAGAACTACAAACCAATGCTCCTCTACACCAGAAAAATATAAATATCTAACTGGAGTAATATTTTCCAACGGGACAAGATAATCACTAATTAAGTAAATTGTTATTATAACTGTTGTCGTTAAGTGTTAAGGTTCATCAATTGTCTATGTTGAACGGACTATTTTGATAACATTCTATAGTATAAACGAATTGACATCCATTGATGTTGCTCCTATGTCAAACGCATTAGGGATAAGGATAGTTATCTAATGTGAGAGTTCTTGCCAGGATGTATTTCTTTGAATACATTTTTTAAAAAATCAATTTTTTATTATTATTAATTATTACAGAAACAGCTGTTGAGAAAAATTAAAATTATATCTTATGGATCTGAAATTGTTTGAGATTTATCAAAAAAATGCCTCATATACCAGGAGTACCTCTGAGATGTAAAAGTATCCTTGATCAAAGGATCGTCTGATTCCTGGGCCAGCTGGTAAGCAGTCTTACCATCCTTATTAGGAACTAGTGGGTCTGCACTATTCTCAAGTAATGTCACGACAACGTCAGCTTGTTTGTTTATTATAGCGAGGTGAAGAGGTGTGTTTTCATTCCTGTCCAGAGAATGGATGTTTGAGCCACAGCGTATTAATGTTAAGACAGTTTCTAGATTGTTCTTGGATGCAGAAACAGCTAAATGTAATGCTGTGCTAAGATGGTTGTCAACATTCTTGATATTTATGTCGTTTCCCTCTGTACACTTCAAACTAATACCTAAATAATATCCTTCTTTCGCCCATTTGTGAATTGTTTCTTCTTCCTTTTTTAATTTCCTTTCAGGATTATACCATTTCAGAAGTCTTGCATCAAATAAACCTCTCATAGCGAATTCGGTTCTGTTGTGTGCCAGTTTTTGTGGTGTATCACCATTATTATTTACTGCAAAAGGATTAGCTCGGTTATGTAACAGAATATTAGCTACCCAATATTTACCATTCATTACTGCTAGATGAAGTGGAGTGTTTCCATCTATATCCCTCAAGTTTACATCTGCTCCGCAACGGATAAGAATGAGAGTCGTCAGTTTTACTCCGATGGATGCAGCAAAATGAAGTGCAGTAGAACTGTTGTTATCAATATCTTTAACATTTATATCCATTCCTTCAACACACAGTTTTCTCGCTTTGCCACCGAACCAGTCATTTCCTTTTGAAACTTCAAATAATTCCTTTTCCTTATTTGTCAATTGCCTACCACTCCTAGAAAAATATATTTTAAATTAACACATTCCAATTAAATTAAAATAAGCTCGAAAAGAGACATGAATGGTACAATCTAAACTATAAATCCGTGAGTCTCTAACATAAAAATAAACAGTTACTTTGCCAACATTTCGCCAATTCAGGCATCCTCAGGGCAGAAAAATCAAGAACACATATATGCAGAAAGAACATTAACATCCTCCTGAAACTTCACAAATAGATTCATCTCATCGTAACCTACAACTATTTTATTTACGAAAACTCTTGTAATTGAGGCGTTTTCAATCTCCGAATCTCTTCAATCTCTTAACTGTTCTCTTGTATGTTAGAGACTCGTGGCTTTATAGTTTGGAATGTTTTATAACTAATTATCCACAGCTGACCATTGCTATTTATTCATAAGAAACAAACATTTTCAACCTTCTGTCAGCTCTATTCCGCCAAATGGATGGCAATCATACATTTTTCTTTAGATATTCTTAGATCTGGATCAAAACAAAACATCACTTACACTTCCACCTTGTCTGGTGCCTCTGAAGTGGTTGACGATGTTGTTGTTGCTAATCTTCTAGTTTTTTTAGTTCCTTTTGTAGTGATCGTTACAGTTGGTGCTGCAGTAGTGACGGAAACTTTGGAATCCGACACAGTACTAGAATGCGAAGGTTCAGTACATGTAGCGAGCTCACTTGGATTGGTTGGGTACCTAGGAAAGAAATAAACATTTTATTGTAAAAAAGGTTCACACTATTTTAATTATAAATCTATACAAATATAGGAAGCTTCGTTGGAACATTAAAATTGAAAGAACTACCGTTTCGCTTTAAAAAGTTATCTTTGCATTAAATAAACCGTTAATTGGGATAAAATCAATATGTGAGGACATATGAATGTCAATCAACCCCGAAAACTGTAGGTAATTACACAAGTACAGCTTCTTATTTTTGGAGTCACTATAAATAAAGTACAAGGACAAACTTTTAAGCATATTGGAATCAATGCAGGATCGTAACCACAAACAGAGAGAAGGGTCGTTAGACTTAATGACAGGAAGAAATACCAACAACGTGATGAGCTACAAAGGGAAAGATACAAGTAGAAAAGGTTATAGGTACATAGGAGAAATAAAAGTCAGATTGAATAAGAAAAAAAGTATTAAATTGACAAATAAGCCCTTTCTGTTTTTCAGGGTGAAATAAAACTCAACGTATTATAGACATAAAGTTTATTATAATCTACAATATAATGGCCATTATTTAATACGACTTTTTCCCATCTTTCTACTAAATGCATAATGTCATGTTAATAGAATGTCTGGAGTTTATTGTTAAAAAACTGATCTAAGTGGTTTTTGATGTCCTCTTCCTTTTGGAATTCCTTTCCATTCATGGAGTTCTGCAGAGACTGGAATAAGTGGTAACCACTTGGAGCTAGGGAGGGTGGGACAAAAGGTCTTATCCAAGGCTCAATAATTTATTGCGAGTGACCAATGAGGTATGGGGCTTAGCGTTGTCTTGGTGGAACACAAAACCCTTCCGATCATTCATAACTCTTCAGGATGTTCTCCAAATTCGATGTTACTATAGTTGGAAAGCTGAATATTGCTCTTCAAAGCCGTATGAATGTTTTTTTTATTTAATGCCTACATAAGGAATAAATAAACAAAAACTCCTTATAGGTTTTTATTTTTTATCTCCATTTGTAGTTTGTTTACGAAGGTCCTGTTGATGTGATTTTGTGTAGTTTATGTGACCCTAAATTCCTGCTAAATTTCTTGTAGATAGCTAAAGTCATATTGAAGTTATAACATTTTTGTGATTTTCGAAAAAAAAAAAATGTGAGGGACCCAAACATTAAGCCTGGAAACATAGCCGAGCTTGTGATGGTTTTCTACGCCTGCATGCCAGACATTTAGAGCCATAGAAATCTCTCGCACTGATTGGGTGGGATTTTGATCAACAATGGCCTTAACATTGCTCATTTCAATTTCATGTGGGCGAGCATCATTGGTATCAATATTTCCTGAATGAAATTTGGCAAACCAATTTTTACAGGTGTGTTCGGTTAAGGCATTATCCTCACAAACACTGCAAATTTTTCTATGAGCTTCTGCAGCACACTTGCCTTTTTTAAAATAATACAACAAAATATGCCGATAATGAATATTTTCTTCTATATTCACAATGCAATAGCAAACAAGTTAACAGATATAGTTATTGACATTTTACTAACAGAATAAACAACCCAAATAAGGGATTAATTCACCAGATAAGAAGTGTATCATAGTGACATAAAAATAAACAGAAAAACCGAAAGGACTTATTTGCGAACCCAATATATAAAATATACTGATCATCTCTGACTGGAAGTGGATTTTTGATTCCAATTAGAGATAGCTTGAATCGTAGATTTATGTAAAACATGGGTACTGAGAGTAATACGCATATAGATTATTTATGTTTTCGGAAAAGTCACAGAGTTCTTTTAATATTTTTTTTCATGAAATTTAATTTAATAGAAAGGTTAACAAATATTTTCTTTACCTTCCACAAGCATTTTGAGCTGTACGTGGATTTTTACTCTTGATACCATTCTTCTCAAGCAGCTCAGTAATGTCATCATTATTCATCTCATGGGCCAAATCTGATGCGGATCTGCCGAAATTATCAGTAATTTCAAACGAGTCTTTGTACATCAAAAGTCTATTTACTAATTCATAGTTTCCTTTCCAGACTGCAATATGAAGGGCTGTTGCCTGATTCACATTTTGAGCCTTTACGTTGATTCCTTTAGAAAGTAATAAACTGCAGGCATTAGTACTGCCTCCCGTAGCACAATAATGCAATGCGGTATTATTTTTATTATCCACAGCGTTTATATCGGCACCTTCTTTGATAAGAGTATTCATCATATCAGTGTATCCTCGTTCAGCAGCTACTTGAAGAGGTGTTAGACCTTCATCATTAACTTGGTTTACATTTGTTTTTTTAACAATTTTATCAACTAAATTAGAACAGCCCATCTTAACAACTTCATGAAGACTGCTGTTTTCATTAAAATTTTTGCATTCTGGATGAACTAATGAAGTATTAAGTTCAGTAACAAATCCATTGCATGGTGTACAGTTGCACGATGAATCCTGAAAACATTTTATTTTAGTTTATCAATTATTTGTTGATGAAATTTGATGATAAATATATCTTATATGAGTTTATTATTGCCAAATTGAACTCTAATCATCAATGACAAGTTTTTTATTTTTCAAATAATTGTTTTTTATCTTTTTGAAAATGTATGTATAGTCGACTCTCAATAATTTGAATTTTTTGACAATTCGAACTCTTCAATTGTTAACTTTGGTAAATTGAAAAATGCTGTATTTTGATAGCTCAATGACTTGAAATCCTTTTTGTAATAAGAGAGGGAGAAAACGTTCTAAGATTCGAATTAGATCACTTCCATTCTTTATTATTAAAAATTTTCCTAGTAATATTTTTTCATATAAGGCTATTTTTATATAAAATGTATATAAGCTCATACATATTATCTAACTATCCTGTTTTTCTGAGTAAATTAAAACTCTTAATAATTCATTTTTTTTTTCTTTCCTCTTGATAACTTGAAGTCTCGATAATTCAAATTTTTCTTTTAGTCCCTTAAATTTCGAATTAACGAGAGTCGACTATTTTTATTTTTATCCAGACCTTTTTAATATAAAAGTGTACATTTGTTGTCCTAATATTTAAAAAAATCCATAGGTCTCTAAAGAACAAACTTATCAAAAATTATTTGGAAAAAACACTCAAATTTAAAAAAATTAATCTCAATGCAAAATTGTCTTGAAATTACTATTTTAAATAATAAATGAACCTTGGGTAAACCTAACAGTTTTTTCTGATAGGTCTGAAATTTATTTTTATATATTCATTACACAAATTACAATATATTATGAGCTATTTTATTATTTTTGCATTGCACTTTTCTAAGGTGAACAACTACATTATTTCTCTTCTCAATTTTATATACTTTTGCTAAATATTAATGAAAACTGGAATTCTTAGACTAAAAATTAAAAATTCTCGATGACTAACATTGACATATCAATGGTTAACTTCACAGATGTTGTAATGATAATTATCATAATTATTATACATTATCAACATTTGTGACCATTACATGCTCTTATTATTTTCTTTAATGTCCTCTGAATTGATCTCTTAGTTGATAAGACAAAGTTATAGTAATGAATCTTTATAATTAGAATTTTTCAATAATTCAAACTTTTTAGCTGTTAACTTCGGTAAATTAAATAAATGATGGATTTTGATAGCTTGAAAAATCGAAAGCTTGTTATTTTCGTAACAAGAGGGAAAGAGAATGTTCTGTAATTCAAACTAGACCACTTCCCCTCTTTATAATTCAAAATTTCCATAACAATATCTTTTACATCAGGCTATTTATATGTAAAATTTATGTAAGCTCATAAATATTTTCAAAAATATAATAAAAACTCTTAATAATTCAATTTTTTTTTTCCTCTTGATAATTCAAACTTCTTGATAAATTGAAGTCTCAATAATTCGAAGTTTTCTTGTCGTCTCTTTGATTTCGAATTACCACGAGTCAAGTGTACTAACAAAGAGGTTTAGCATTAGCTTATCCAAAAAGATATTCCATAAATTCTTTGACTCATAGAGTAGTAATATATGCTATACTTACATTTAGGTTAGTCAACTGTGGACAGCTGCTTTCCTGAAAATAAAATACTCTCTTAACGATAATAATAAATAAGTGTAAATTTATTACTTAAAATTTAGATGTATAGTAACTTACAACTCACAATTTCAAACCTACCAAGAACCTCTCTAACTTAAAATATATCTCGCTTATTCAAGAAAGTGCTACTTTCTTGATATTGGAAAATAGTCTCACAAGTGGGCCTTTTGGTCTTTATTGCTAACCTCTGACGGCTACCTAGAGGGTGTTGCCCTGTATTAACCAGAAAAGGAGTGACAAGATTCATCTCTCAGGGTCCTTAAGAAATAAATATTAACTGACCCAGGTAGGAATCAAAACCACAATGTAATAAACTGTGGTCATCGCCTCAATGTGCTCAGACTTCATAAGCTCTATTCATACTCTACTCACTTAACAAAGACGATATAGCCCTGTTTAGAATCCCTAATAAAAAATGCTTTGTTCATCTTCACGGAAATATATTAAAAGCTTCTCATTTGTAGATTTTTACAAAATAAAAGAATAGAAAAATAAATGTTTTTTTATGTTTTCTGTAAAAAAAAAATGTTCTATTTTCATCATTAGATAGAAAAGCTTAAGATACTATTTTGCTGATACTGCTCACCACGCTGACTTCTAGCAGCAGTTAAGCGCTGCATTAGTAGAACAGAAAACAGCCTATTTCATTGGCACTGATCGGCAATCTAGGTATGAGATCATATATATTCTGTTCCTTTCTGATCGCTCATGATTCAGTGAAGCTGTTGGCAATTCTAAGTTATGTTAGATTGGAGAATTTTTTTCATGATAACAGTCACTTTGATATGTTTAATTTCCTTTTTACTTTCACTTACATATCTACACGAAATATATAGTAAGGGACATTATTGCGAGCATGAAAATTTTCTGATCTGAGTTTTCAACAGAAATACATGTATTGAGGCCTCCTGAGTCCAAATAACTAAGTCCCGCAAAATGGTCTATGTGAGTGTTTCTGTGTGTATGTTTTTTGACAGGTTTAGCTCAAAAACAAAATGTTGTATGAAAGTGAAATTCCATTTTTAAGGCTTGTATATACCTGAGATGTTACAGCATCTTTTTCCTAAAAATAAGCTAACCGAAACTGGCATTTTCTATAATCGATAAAACACATTTTTACTATTTTCTCGAAAACGGCTCCAACGATTTTGATTAAATTCATTGAATCAGTGTAAAAATAAGCAGTTTTTAATATTATGTAGGTTTTATTCTCATTGATGGTCCCTAAAAGGGCTATATGGCTAATTTTCAATATTAGCTTCCACTAAAGTAACATTAATTTCTTTTATTTTAAACAATTAACCATGTTACATTGATCTCTAATATAAAAAATTGTTAAATATAAAATATGAAAGAATTTTATAATTAACTAAAAGAGAAATAAGAGATCATAACAGAGAACAGTTGTAATGAAGGAACCAAAGGGATACAAGAGCGCCCCTAAACATTAGAACAGGCTTCCATAGTAACATAAGCTTAATATAATACGGACTCCAACAATATTATGCACATATACATGTGCGGTTTTCCTAAATGTTTTCGTTGGTGTTGTTGAATATTTAATTGTATAGATTACAGCTATATAAACATTAAAATTTGTATATATAGAGGTACTTAAACAAATAAAAATATAAATCAATGTAGCATTTATAATTTATACTTTCCCTTTGTCTGTGGTAAGTGAAAGTTGTGTGATGCGCGAACCACACCAGATTTTTTTTCTTCAAGTCGGGCAAAATTAAATAAAATTTTTTTTTAAATTTAAACAAAGCCATAGTAAATCATTTTTTAAGGTTTAAATAACAGGATTATTTATTACATCAAAAGTACTAGCAGTGGACTCCAAACTTTTTGGTCTGCAGACCACATTGAAATTCCCACTAAGTCCCGTGGCCGTGGCTTACAATGAAAAAAAAGATTGTTCTATAAATGACACTTCAGTTCTAAAATGAGATTTTCCAAAAGAAACAATCAATGCAATAAATGTTGCAGAAACCTCGTTTAATTAAATTTCATATTTTTTAAATAGTTTTTAAAATTTTACCATGTAATCTTTTTGGGAACTTCCGTGTAATAAAAAGAAACTTCTTTTTTGTTCCTACATCAATGACCTTCATAAATCCATCCTGCACTGTTTCCATCACCTATATGCCGATGATTCCCAAATTTATTTTTCCTTCTCTCCCTCAGAGTTGCAGGATGCATTTGCCGAAATTGTTATTCTAAGGGGACTTAGTCCACACAATAAAGTAAAATTTTCTATTTCTATTTTAATATATTTAAAACATTTAGTAAATAATTTCTAATTTACAATAAAAAAAAACAAAAAAAAAAAAACATACCAAGTCTTCAGGTTCATTATCACCATATCCAGTACGTTCTGTAATTCTGATTATCTATAAGAGAGTTTTAGATCGATCAGTAATGATATTGTATATTACATCATGAATATTACTATAATTTTATTTAGCATGTTATGTCGACTTATTATAAATTAGTTTAAAATGAAATAATTGGTTTAAAATATTTTTTTTCCATTTTTAGATTTTTTCTTTAAATTGAAATAATATATTTCACCAAGCATCAAAAGTTCTTAAAAAAAAATGATATCTTTGGATCAGAGAAGAGCCTTTTGAGATACTCAACTTTTTATTCAACTTTAAGCTTTTGAGCACCTACACAGCCCTTCCTAATTGATAAATATATTTTTTAACATATATACAATATCCTCATTACCCTGTTAGGAAGTATCTGATGATTCAGATGTAACCTAAAAAGTTTGAATACAACAAGTAGATTAAAATCAATCACAAATGTGGTCATGGGGAATATTGTGGCATTGAAAGACCATGGGAGGTCTTGATAAGAAAAGGTAAGTAAACTATTTGACACAGATATAGCAGAAATTGTTGTTTTAACAGTGGATTTTTAGTTAAGAATAGATATTGTATAGCCTACGATATATCTCTATAGCCTAAAAGATGAGGAAGAAGTAGAAAAAAAAAGTTAGAAAAAAATAACTATCCACTTTGAGCAGGATACCAGGTTTTAGTGATCAGATTCCGATGGCCATATTTCAAGGGCATTGGTTTAAAATCATGTTGATAAACATACATTCACAGGATAAATACAGTGATATTGAAATAAAATTTCAACTTTATGATAAACCGGAATAAGTTAACCATTGGCAACCTTAAAAGATACATTTAACGGCCAAAGACAGTGATAATGAAATAAAATTACAACTTAATGATAAACCAGATGAGTTAACCATAATCTATCTTAAAACCGAATGAAAATAATTATGAGAGATATGAACGCAAAGATGGGAAAGAAAGACGTATAATTAACTTGCATGACTACAGTAATGATAATGGGATCAAATTAATATAATATTTAGAGGTTTAATTGGATATTTACTCTATATTCTAGTTTTTTTATTGCATATTGTATAGGATATTCTGTAGGTATTTACCGCATAGAAATCAGGCCTATAATAAAAATAAGACGTATACAAATATCACAGTAATTATAAAATAAAATTAGTTGGTTCAAAAAATACAATTTATCACTTACAACTTTATAAATATAACTACTAATACTAAATATAACTTTATCGCTTATTCAATTGAATAAGTAATTACCCTATTTCCTGAAGAAATATCATTATTTGATTGTTTTTTATCATTACTTTCACAATCTGGCTGTAATTCTGGTTTCTGAAAATTTATTGCAACATATATAATATAAATAACAAAGTAATATTTGAATATATATAAATATATGAAAAATAAAGTGATACAGTATAAAAATTAGAACCTGTACAGTGAGTGCTATGTAGTTGCCATAAACATTCATGCCTTTCTGTATTCCAGACTACAAATAAAAAATAAATAAAGAAATAAACTTTAACAGTTATGAAATAAAAACATTTTAAAAAAATTATTCTATATGTACTATAAATAGGAGTTACAATCGTTCACAATCCTTGGAGTGTAAATTGCACACAAAAAAAGTTTAATAGATATTGTTTATATATTAAGTTTAAGGGGGAAACTCTTTTTATTTCAATATTTAATAAAAGTTATTATTTTTGATACAAAAGGAAGTGCTTTAGCTGCCCAGGATTTTAAATCTGAATGATATTTACTGAATAAAAGACTGAAATTGAATGTAGGTGAAGTTCGAAGAAATAATATTAATTTAAAATTAAAAGAAATACAAAATTGTCAACCTTTTATTATTTGAACTATATAAGTGGATAATATTCTTTTAAAATTACTTAAGTTTTCAACTGATGCCATCACACTAGTTTGTTCGAATGAAAATTCCTCTATTCTCGTTAGGTAAACAGAAACAAGCAAACATGTACTGCCATTTACAGAAAACTGACTCAATAATCACGTTAATTTCAATTATTGACAAAGGGAACGACTTACACACTTCTTTTGTTAATTATTTGAATTCAAAGTATGCACCGTCACCTTCATACTGATATTATCATTGATATTAAATTTAGGACTAATTTAGCATATGAAGATTTAAAAGGTAATATAAATAAAAATGTAATAATTTTTATTTTTTCAGGAATATAAAAAGAGTTTATTGGTCACCTTTTATATTAAAGACCTGAATACTTGTTTAGTTTCTGCTAAAGTAATACCTAAGGGTTAATGTAACTCTCATTTATGGTATTTCGAATTCGTAATTAAATCTCATAATGTATTTAGTAGGATATATTAAATTGAATACAATAAATAAATAAGATATTAAAAGCAAGATAAATTATAACAAAAAAAAAATACAATGTTTTTCCTTATATGATTAAAAAACTCATTAAATCAAAATATCAAATAAATTAAATTACTATTTGATTTTGGTCTGTTATCGGTTTTGCTTCAGACAAGAGATATTGGTGAGGAAACGTAATAGTGGTGGCAAAAGTCTGAAAAAAAAAGAAAGAAAGATTAAAACATTAAAAGCAGTAAATACATTGACAATTCTATGCAATTGTAACTCAATAAAACTATATTTTGTAAGTGAGTCAATAGAGCTTTAGAAAAATCTAAACTTTCTCTCTCAAACTATATAAAATATATTGTCAAACATTTGTATAGTGATAAATTTTAAAATATATTAAGAGAAAATAAACTGTTGCAAAAAAAATAGAAGCAGGGGTGCATATCCCCACAAGATCAATGGCGGATGAACCTTATCCCTTCTCTCCCTAAATACTTCATTGTTCTCCTCTTCTTAAAAAAAGTGCAAGCAAAAATAGAATTTAAAAAATCATAGATCATATATCATTAGACTTGCTGCGGTATCTTCCATGTTTTTTCCTTGTACCCTGGTTTGAAATTTTTCATTCCGAAAATTTATAACCAGTCGAAATGGGTCAAAAATTCAAAAGACCGTGAAAATATGCCATGAAATTCCGTACTGGGCATTGCGCAAAAGAAGACTTGAGGATGGTGATTTTCAGAACCAAATAATATGGCATAATTTTGATAAGGTCTTTGGTTGACTAAAGTCTATATTGTACCAATATATACTTCAAATTCTCAATTTTGTTTTATATATATACTATTACTATGCAGCTCTACAGCCTAGAGTGAGCCTTGGCTTCCTGAATTATGGCATACCAATCATCTCTATTCATCACCCTTTTCTTCCAGTTTTTCACGCCCAATGTTCTGAAGTCGCTCTCAACATCTTGCAGCCATCTTTTCCTTGGTCTTTGTTTTCTTCTTGTGCCATACATTGTAGAGAACAATGCCCTATAATTCATCCTGCTGTTGTACATTCTAATGATGTGGCCTAACCATTCCATGCGCTTAATTTTAACGAGATGAACCATGTTACCGCTATTATATAGTTCATATAGCTCCGATTTTTTTTTATACCTCCACACACCCTCTTCACAAACAACTCCATAAATTCTTCTGAATATTTTTCTTACAAAAATATTCAGCATACTAATTGTGCTTGTACAAAGGATACATGTCTCCACTGCATAAGTCACAATATGTCTTACTAAAGCTTTATATAATCTTATCTTTGTTTCTAATGATAGGAGCGATGATCAAAAGAATTTTAGGATGGCATAGTATGCCCGGTTTCCAGCCACGATCCTCTTGTACACCTCAGCACCAATTTTATTTTCAGAATTCACTTCCATCCCAGGTACATGCATTTTTTGACAAACTCAAAGGTGACCACATATTTCAATGCTTTGAGAACCAGCCTCATTGTCCGACATACATGTATTTTGTCTTATATATATTATGCAAAAACATATTATTTGGAGGAGGGCAGATAGATAAAAAAAACTAAATAAAAAATATTACAACTGCTACATAAATATTACTCTAGATGTTACATTGGTTTCTTGTACTTGCATCAAATAGATTTTTTTTTTTTTTTTTTGTAATGTAGAAGAAAAACCTTCAGATCAAAGTTCAGTCACTCTTATTTCAAAGATAAAAAAAAAAAAATTCATGTAGTATCGAGTTAGATACAAAGGCTTTCGGAAGTACGAATTGTTGAGATATAATGTATAAAGGTGAAGAAGCTATAGATGAAAAGGAACGTGGAGATGACTGAAATACAGGATGGTGTGATACCGTTTGCTGTAGGTATGACAAGATTAGATTGATGTCTCCGCTCTCTACAAATAAACCGCACTGTTAGGCAATCTGAGATTTGAAATTTCCATGTTGGATAATGGTGTCATCCTTTATGTGACATTGTTTCTTAGTAGAGATGGGAAATTTGATTCTTTTAACTGAACCGATTCTCATGGATTCAATCATTGTGGTGAATCGATCCTTAGGAACGATTTTTCAATTGATTCTTCTCATCTTTAAATGAAAAAGGAACTTTTTATTGAGAAAAAAAAACAATTAAAAACATCCTCCACATTATTCAGGCAAAATCTTTTTTGCAGCTCATCAAAATTAAAAATCTTATAAGAAGGAAGAAAGTTTAAACAGGACAAGAAATTTTTTTTTTGATGATGTAGAGATGGTTGACCTTTGATATAATATGAGGAGTTGATCCGGAGGATGCGGTCAAATAAATATATATATTTTTTTTTTTTATTAACGAAATTTACAACTGTAATTAATAATAAATACAACAAGTAAATATGAACAAGTAATATGACATGTACAACATGAAGAGAAACTGCCCATTGGTAGTACTCCAACTCCAACTAAATTAAACAAATAGTAATTATATAATTTTTGCCGACGTTTCTACCCACTTTGCAGGTCTTCATCAGGGCCACAAAAGATACAAAACATAGTGAAAATAAAATAAATGAATATAAGTAGATATAAAATAAGAAGAAGTCTGATACAGAAATAAAAAGATGATATCAGAGATGATATCAGGAGAATATAGCATGTAAGTAAAAAAAAAACTCTTTTAACTTACATGCTATATACTCCTTTATTTTCTATTTTTATTCATACTTATTTTCCATTTTTGTTTGTATCTTCAACATATATAATACTTGTTATTTTAACTACATTGTCACCCACTATATCTCTGATATAATTTTTTTATTTCTGTATCAGACAACTTCTTCTTATTTTATATCTACTTATATTCATTTATTTTATTTTCACTATGTTTTGTATCTTTTGTACCCCTGATGAAGACCTGCAAATTGGGTCGAAACGTCAGCAAAAATTAAATAATTACTATTTGTTTAATTCAGTATTTATTTGACCGCACTCCCCGATCAACTCCTTCTCAATTTTTTTTTTATTTTACACATTAGATATTGATTTTTGGTCTGTGTATATAAATTGTAAATGAAAAATTATTTTATTATTCTAGGATTGATGTCCCATTAGAACAAATTATATATATAAAATATTAGGTTATTAAAAATAAAAGTATAAGAGAAAAAAAAACATTATATCCATATATAAATAAATCAAAAAAAGAGAAAAAAACAAATAAATAAACAAAATAGTAATATAAAGATTTCCTAGAACAAACCCAGTAAGAATCAGTGAAGAAATGAATTGGTAAATCGATTGATTTCATGAGAATTGGTGAATTGACAGATTCCCTGTGAATCGGTGAATTGAACAAATTCCATGTGAATTGGTGTTTTTGAGTGAATCGTGATTCTTTCGAGTGAAGCACTTGTTACAATACTTTCAGGGAAATCAACTCTTTGATTCTATTCTTGATTCATCTGCCCATCTCTAATAATTAACAATCATCGTTAATATTTTAAAACTCATATAATTATAGAAAAAGGCATTCATTTTTAGGTTTGAAGAGTGGTTTAATTGCTATTACAGACTACTTTTGGAAAAATTAGAATAAAAAATAATCTTATTTTAATATAAAATTACAAATCTTCAAAAAAGGTCTTTTAAAGATTAAATAATTCAATGAACTAATCTTTTTTATTTTTGGGTAAAAAACTTAAATAAAATTTATAAACATACCAGTCCCTCTGGTCTTTTAGAAATTCCACCTCCCAAGACCTGTAAAAATGAACAAATATTAAAAACAAAATACTCTATTTTATTTAAAATATTAAATAAAATTAATGATTTATAAAATGCAATTAAATATTATGACAAATTATAAGCAATTAGTAACACAATAACTGATCGTAATGCTCAGTTGATGTTCTCAATCAATAGCTATCAATAATTCTAAAAATGTTAAATTAAAAAATAAAAAGGAATATATTGTTAGAATATGGAAATTAAAATTAAAGTGATGATTAATATAATTAATCACACATATATATCTGTCCATATCCTTAACAACACAATAATTTTAATAATAGTCATTGATGAAAAAAAACATTATTGACCACACTTCCAACCAATTACTCCTACTACTCATTCATATGGTCAACAATATCTCCATTAATGATTGTAAATATTTATAAGTATAAATTTATAAAATATAAAAGTTGGCGGTTTTCAATGCCTTGTTTCTCCCTCCCCTCCCCCCATTTTGAGGATTATTAATTGCCATTTCTAGCAGACATGTGTAGCCAATTGGTCTTTGGATGCTGAGAGATGTCTAAACAATATATGTTGAAATGAATAGGACCCAAAACATTTCCCTGAGGTGTTCTAGCTTTTATTTATTTGATTTCAAATAACTCAGTTCCCATTTTTATATGGAAGACATGACTGGTAAAATTAAGTAGTATTTTTATTTTTCTGAGCAAACCAACATACCATATTCTGTCAAAGGCTTCACATATACCAGAGAAAACATCGAGCAATACAATTTTGATTATATACTGAATCGTAACATTGTTGAATAGTGGAATGATGCTATTCGAATCTGTAATGGAAATTAGGAATAATAAAAAATACCTCAGTGACTTTGGATCCAAAACAGAATCTTTTCAAATATTTTAGACAAAAAAGGAAAAATATTAATTGGGTGATAATAACCAGGACAGTCTATACAGGGTTGTTGAGTTCATAAATCACAAGTATAATTTAATATTCCTGTAATATATTATATATATATATATTGTTGAGTCTTGTGTTAAGAAGTTTAAAAAATGAGAAATGGAGATAAAAAACCAGGAAATGAAAAAAAAAAAAACATATTCTAAGAACTCAATAACTGAAAGTATCGTTATTTTGTTATTATTTGTTGATTGAAAATCAACCTATAATTGTATTATGGAATTTCATCTTCAATGTTCTATTTTAATTCATTCCTCAGTTTCTAATTATTATTACTTTTTATTTGAAACCAGTCAAAATATGCATTTGTCATCAAATATACAATATAAAAATAGACTACTTGCATCTGGATACACTGATTCATATATATTTATATATATATATATATATATATATATATATATATATATATATATATATATATATATATATATTGTAATGTATACCTTTATTGGAAGTGAGTTAAAAGTGTTTAATAAATTAATATTAAACAATTAAAAATCAAGCTAATCTAGTTATACTAGTGCAAGGAAAATAAAATAAATATTATGTAATTTCCCAAGAAGGAAAATCTCAAAGAGGAGAGGGGCAAAGGTTTTTGTTTTGGCGAGCAGTTGTTGTGTGACTGTAGTGAAGAGAGGATAGGAGGAATGATCCTGGCTCCAGTGGGAAAAACCCAGTAATTGTGTCATCAATTTGGAAGAGTTGTTTGGCAGAACTTTGGAAAGTGTTTGAAGACAAATGAATTCAGTGCAACAAAGGAAGAAACAGTATATATAGAAAAAAGGTTAGCTTGCCAATCCATACTTGACTTTATTATAAAATCAGTGTTTTATTTTAGTATAAATAGTGTAAATAATAATAGTTTGTTTGAGTTGATCTGATTGTCAGTAACCCATACCTGAGATAAATAAAAATGTTAATATTCTTATAATTTTGTTTTTTATTTAATAACCACTTATTTATTTAGGAAGTATCCAAACAGTATAAAGTGATCTTCTGAGGTTATATTATTATTTGTAAAATATAAGAGGGATATTATAATATATATATATGATCATCTTTTTAAAAACTGCATACAAACAAAATATGCAATTGCACAAAAATCGGAATGTGCACAGTACTTCCTGCGGTTGCAAAACATGGATGATAGAAAAAAAGACGCTATAAATTGAGAGTGAAAGTAGAGGAATGGAGCAATAATACCTTCTTGGAATATCAAGACGAGATTGAAAATCTAATTAAAGAATTAGAGTAATGACTGACCTCCCAGATATTGTGCAAAAAGTGCACCCGGACCGGACTTGTCATCAGGAGGAATGGAGCAGGTAGTTTATGGATTGGTATCCAAGAAAGAAAGGACGACCACTGACAGACTCGGACAAGAGGACGAAAAAGACCTGCGGAGGGACAGCCTGGAAGAAAGTAGCATTGGAGAGGATATAGTGGAATGGATGGGACAGTTGCACTACTAAGTGTGGTTGCAAAAGTGTTAGAAATAATGAAACTTAAAACCTCAACTAAAATGTTGATTTTCTGCATATTATGTTGATTAGTCCCATCATAAATATTGTTGCAAGGAAATATATACATAATTTTTGTATATATTTATTTTAGGCCAAAGGTCACCAAATATACACAGTTTTTTTATCTCCTGTATTCTTTATTCAACGTTTCGGCTTCAGGAGCCATTTTCAAGATCCTGCAAAACATGCACCGCGCCATAAAATTTTTAAAATCTATCATTGCAATGTGATTCGTCCTTTAGTCATTCTTTTATTTCAAAGGATGTCGTTTTTTCATTTCTCTTTCGCAGACAATATCAAGAAAATTGTTGCTCCTCACTAGGGCATTCATACAGGACTACAGACATACATTCATACAGTCCTGTATGAATGCCCTAGTGAGGAGCAACAATTTTCTTGATATTGTCTGCGTATATTGTGTATATTTGGTGACCTTTGGCCTAAAATAAATATATAAAAAAATTATGAGAAAATGGCACCAAACCTAAAGGATGTGACTAGAAAATGAAATATATACAGATTTCAACAGAAAAATTAATTTTTTCAAAAACTTTGTTAGAGAATAAAATGTATATCTGTAGAGAGTAAACCGAAAAAGAAATTATGCAAAATGTCCACCTTATGCCTTGACACAGCCATTTAATCTCTGTGACCAGTCATCGATAGCAGCACGTATCACTTCTTGAAAGCGCTCAGCTGCTTGGACCAGAGATTGTTTGAGATTTTCCAAGTTAAGGTGTGCTCTGTAGCATGTCGTCCTCCCCAGTTTGGAGCAAAGCTATCTAGTGGGTTGAGATCAGGGCTTCCTGAGGGCCAATCCGAGGCAGAGATGAACTCTGGAATGTTCTTTTGCAGTCACTGCTGAGTTAGTACGGAATCTCACTGGAAAACCCAATTACTTCCAGCAAACAGAATATTATTTAGAGGCTTGACAACAGGTTCCCAAATATCGTCCTGATAGTTTTTAGCAGATGTTTTAACTCCTTTTTCACAAAAATGGAGATTTGTGGTACCATCAAACCAAACTCCTCACCTAACCATCAATGAAGGATGATGACCTCTTTCCACTCTTCCAATGACTTCCTGGACTTCTTTAGAGCTGTGTGCGTACACATGATCATTTGGGCGATTAAATTTTTCTTCAATTGTAAAAATTTTTTCATCGCTAAACAAAATCACTGCATTTGCCTTTCTCACGGTGGGGAGACAGCCTGGTCAAGGTATGTCACATACAGATAGGGTCTCATTATATCTATTTATAGTGTGGTACATGAACACACGGCTGATACCCAAAGGTTTCAAAGTGTTGAAATTCTCTGACCTACATTTTGCTACTTTGTGTAAGGCGATCACAGCTATTCAGTTTTCTTTATCACCCCAGTACATGTTAACTGAGCGAAAGAAAAATACAAACCAATTGGGATTATTATCATGACATGTAAAGAAAATAACTTGAAAGAGGTAAGGATTATCTGAATAATACCCAAGGATGTAAACAAAGTTCAACATTTGTAACAGCATTTATGGCAGCACTAGATATAAAGTTTATATGTATATTATTATTATTATTATAAAAATCTGGGCCTTGATTATAATTATTTGATCATTAAAATCTATATATGAGGCTTTTAAAATTAAAGAGGATCTAGTCTATCAATTGTAGTTTTGAGATAACAGGGATTAAAGTTAATCAACAGTAATCAGCTGTTAATATATATATATATATTATATAATATTATATAATATTATATTATATATATATATATATATATATATATATATATATATATATATTATATATATATATATATATATATATATATATATATATATATATATATATATATATATATATATATATATATATATATATATATATATATATATATATATATATAATATTATATAATATATAACAGGCCCCAAGATACTCCCATGTCTCTCACCACTACGCTGAATTAAAGTGACTTCTCAACAGAAACACAAAGCTGATTTCAATAAAGAATTTGATATATTTTTATTTTTTAATTCTTTACTGTTTTCTTAAGTGTATACTGGTCTATCAGTGCAAATAGCTTTAAGTGTCTTCTCATAGTATTAATTGTTTTGTATATAGTTTCATTTTTTTTTTGTATATAGAATGTTTACCTTATATTTTCTTTACATTATTTTTTTTTTTCGATTGATTTTATTTTGGCCAGATGTAATCTTTTAATTTTGTTCTTCTCAAGAGATTGTGTCCCAGAATAAAGTTATTTTCTATCTATCTATCTATATAATATCGGAATATGTGTCATTCATTAATAAATTATCTTGTAAAACATAAGCAGCTGATTACTGTTGATTAACTTTAATCCCTGTTATCTCAAAACTACAATTGATAGACTAGATCCTCTATATTGATAGACTTTAATTTTAAAAGCCTCATATATAGATTTTAATGATCAAATAATTATAATCAAGGCCCAGATTTTTATAATAATATACATATAAACTTTATATCTAGTGCTGCCATAA